CAGCCTCCCGCGCCCGCCGTGTCCATGCGGGGCTTGGCGCCAGGCCCCAGCAGCCCGTCGGTGACGGAGTACTCCGTGATGATGTCTTCCACCCGCGTGATGTACAGGAACGTCAGCAGCACCCCCAGGAACTGAGAAGAAGGGCAGGCAGGTGAGGCTGCTGGGGATCGGGCAGCCCAGCCCTCTCTGGCAGCCCCGTTCCCAGAAACCCAGGCAGCCAGTCAGGAGCACTCATGGCACCGGTGGCCTGGAAACCCCAGGGCACGGCCTTCTCCCCAGCACCCCCACTGTCAGCAGCCCCACCCTGGGCCCTCCTCGGCCCTCCCAGGAAACCCCAGAGACCTCCCCTGTGCCCATCAGCAGAGGTTCCTCCATTCTGGGACTCCTGTCCCCCCCCCCAGCTATGCCACCCACAACCTGGAGGACCCTGGGCAAGTCACTTAACGCTGCTGAGCCTCAGTTCCCTCCTCTGTAAAATAGGTATAACAGGACCTACCTCACAGGACAGGAGGAGGCAGTGCCGGGGAAGCACTCAGAAGAGCTTTATGAGCAATGCTACTGCCATGCGCCCTCTCCTTCCAGCCCTCCGCCCTCACAGGTGAGCCCAGCTTGCCGGTACAAGAGCCTTCTTCGCCCGCCCCTTGTGTACCTCCTCTGCACCCTGCAACCACCTGCCACCCTTCATTGAGCCCACAGCCCGCCCACCACCCTGCCTCCCGCTCCCCACCCTGAGTGGAGTGGGGACCGGCCCACCTGGGGGAGCAGGATGCCCAGCAGGAGGCCCGCCATGATGGTGTAGTTGTCCATGAGCCAGATGAGCACGGCGTTGGTGCAGCCCCGCACGTAGATGACGTCCTGCACGCTGAGGCGCTGCAGGGAAGAGCCCGGCTGAGCGCCTCCCCGGGCAGCGCCCCGGTCCCAACGACCACCCATTCAAGATCTGGCCAAGTCCCTCAGCCTCCCTGAACCCGTTGCACATATGCAGGCCAGAAGGTGGCTCCAGATCACTGAGTCTCAGGGGGCAGCTGTGTTTCCTCGAGAGCACGGGAGCGCTGTGGTGGGCTGCTGGCGGCCACAGCGAATGGGGTTGGGGACCGAGGGACTTCAGAGCTCAGAGCCATCCTACTTCACCCGCTTCCCTGCCTGCCTGCTCTCTGTGTCCCGCAGGCACTGATGTGGGTGCAAACCCACTCAGAGTTATCTGAGCCAAAAGCCTAACTCCAGGCACATATGAAAGCCAAAGTGTGGTCTTGCTACATACACTGAATTCTGCAGAAGTGCGACTATATAAATTAAGGGACGATTATAATTTCTTTTGTGTGGAACTTTATCGAGAATTGTTTACCATTTTAAAAAACCATATTTTTTAAAAATAATGCAAGTTGCCAACATGACAGCCGCAGCCCCTGTGTGCAGACACCCGACTGCGCTGTGTCTTCTGGGCATCGACCTGGTGCCTGAGCCCTTTGTTGAAACGTGTTATATGGTTATAAGTTGTGTGTTTTTTATTTCATTTTTCCTTCCATCTCAGTTAGATCAGTGTTACTTGTTTTGAAATTAGGTGTGTAGGTAGGTGACAGCTCATATTATCTGTGGATTTCATTTCAGGAAAATATCTAGGGCATTACCAAGAGGTTAGTATACACACCGGCCATTGGGTCTGATGGCTTGAGGGCCACTGCCGGTCTATGGCTCTACCGCTTACGTGTGGATCCAATCACCTTCCGGGCCCACCCCAAGCATGTGTGTTTCCAATGAGCCCCCAGGGCCGTGCTGCTGGCCTGAGGCCGCACTGCGAGGACCACTGCTCAGGGTGTCTCGGGCATCCAGTTCAGCTCCCTCTCCACACTGCCCCGGCCTCTCTCCCAGCCAGGATCCCTCCTGGGTCCCAGGCTGAGAGAACCAGCGGGAGCCATCGGCAAACGGGTGCTCCGAGGGCAGAGGCAGGCTGGCGCTGGACACGCTGTGCACATGAGCATGCCTCCCCCGCAAGTCCACAGCAGGCCCAGGCCAACCCTGGCAGGCGGCCTCTCCCAGCCTAGGGGGCTCGTGGCGCCCTGAGCCCCTCTGTGTCTGAGGAGGGGTAGAAACCCCTGCCAGTCCCTGGCTCCTGGTCACAGCCAGAGACGCTGGAAAATCTCAGCAGCCAGGAGCCCACCCCCAGGGGCCCCTGCAGCCACCCTGGGGAGAGAACAGGAAGAGCCACCTTCCTGGAGACTTGGAAGACATTACCTCCTTGTCGATCGTTCTATAGCCACACATGGTGTTGACGACTTCCGTCTGAAACAGAAAGGTGTGTCAGCTAACACTGACGTGGTGCGCGCTGTCAAAGACACTCTTATCCTCCCGTTCTATGGAGGAGAGCCGAGGTGGAGTTGCCTGGTCTGGCTGCAGCTGAGATCCCACCCAGGCAGTCTGGCTGGAGTCTGCATCTCCACATCCCACCTCAAAGAAATGCCCCAGAGGGAAGGTGGGAAGGCTAGTTCCGTGGCACTTGTGTGGGAACCACTCCTCCATCAGCGGCAGCCCAGGAACCCAGAGAAAAGCATGCCACCCAGGCTCCCCCACTGCGGCCTTGCCGGGCACAGCTCTGCTGGCACGCAGATGCCATGTCTCAAAGGTCGGCTCCTCAAGAAAAACCCCAGACCACAGCCAAGACCCTGGCCAGTGCTGGGTTAATTGAGGGCAAGGCTGGGACCTCTGACCCACTGCCCCGCCCCTGCAGACTGCCACCCCCACTGTGGAAGTGCCCCATGTTCCTTATTGGGAAGAGAGTCCTTCTCAAGAACTCCCAGATGCTGACAATCTAGGTGCTGGGAAAGCTGTGTTCGGCCCTGGATCCCATCAAAGCCCTTCCCAGCAGGCAAGTCCCAGGGCTGGTGCGGCTCTTCCCATCCTGCCGGTGGGCCTGTGCCATCTCCTCCTTCTATGAGGTGAGAGAAAGCTAGATGCCCTGGTCCCGCCCCTCCACATCTGAGTGACAGCTGCTGTGGGTCAGGGTGCAGCAGGATGCAGGAGAGCAGCAGTGTGGCCTCTAGCATCACGGTGCCTGGTCCAGATCCCGCTGTCACTATGAGCTCTGTGACCGACCTCCGGGTGCTGCGGAGGGGCTGGCACATGGAGGCACTCGATACGTGTTTGCTGAATGAATGACTGAATGAATGAATGATAGGCTCCTCGGTCCTTTCCATAAGCAATGGTGATCGGTGAATCCACCTCTTGAGGCCGTTTTGGACATACAGTGAGATACACACTTGAAGTGCGTG